TTGCACATCACCTGATAATTTCATTCTTAATCCCGAAGAAATCCAGTAGGGATTCTGTTTCAAAATTTGAAAGGTGCATCATGTGGCATCTCCCGGAAAACAAGTTAATCAACTGGCCCATACTGCTGATCAACCAGATGATGGTGCCTAGAGTCTACTTGGCCTATGGAGGATTGATTACTGACATACTCGAGTATTTCAGTATATCTCCTGAAGAGGACATGACCTGCATCACACCTACTGTCCTCACAGACAAAATATTTTTGGCCCTAACCTACCACGGTCAAGAAAAGAAAAAGACTCAAACCACTTCATCAGCACTGCCTGGGATAGTCATCAGGGAGGCAGGCACTGAGCAAGCTGCAGTTGAAGTGCCCCAAGGTGTGACAAGAAGGCCCCGAACTGACAAGGGGAAAAGGAAGTTGAGAATTGTAGAATCTGGGTCTGATACTAGCTCAGACAAGAGGATTTTGGTGGTACAGGAAGAAGATGAAGAAGAAGAAATCTCTCTGAGTAAGAGAAGAAGGATCAGGGCCTCTGACCTAGTCAAGCCTTTTCCAGCCCTAAGAGTTGGTGAAGCTGGAGGCACCTCTGCAACAAATCCTCAGACTACTGTTGAAGATGAAGTAATGGAAGAAACAGCTGAGGAAAGAAGGCAAGCCGAAGTGCTTCAGATAGCTGCTCAGTATGCTACTGAGCATGCTGAAGAAGAAATGGTTCAGGATGAACCTGAAAAGGAGATTGAGGAAGAAGAGATTGCTCGGACAGAGCTTGAAGTTGATACTGCTCAGAAGGAGCAAGTAAATGAAGTGACTCAGAAGGAGTCTGGGGGAGCTGAACATAAGATAGTTCAGAGCAGAGCTGAAGAAGTTGCTCAGTCAGCTGAAAAGGAGACAGCTGAAAAGGAAGCTCTCAATGCTGAAGTGCCTGATATGGCAAAATCTGATAAGGTAACTCCCCCATCCTTAAATCTTTCTTTAATACCTTCTTCTACTCTCCCATCTCAAACCCCTCAGACTGATGTTCCTTTAACATCAACTGAGCAACCCAAGCATGCTATCATCATTATCCCTCAAGAACCCATCGTTATTGAGGATGTCAATGAAACATCTGAAACTCCACCTCCTCCACCTCCTTCAGACACCCAAAGAGCCAAACAAACCCTTGCTGGGCTAACCCCTTCTTCATCACCACCACCATCTCCACCCTCATCTGGAAAAGTCCTTTCAGATGAAGAGCTAAACAGGCTAGCTGACAAGCTATTCCAAAAGCTGGAAGCAGCCAGACCTTCCACATCCAGGCCTCAACCATCCACTCCTCCACCTGAGGAAGTCCCCATTCCCTCTCCTAACCCTGCTTATTCTATGGATCAAATCAATAATATTATGAGAGAATTTTCCACTCTCAAATCTATGATCCATAGCGCAGCTGCAATGCAAGCCACCTCATCCTCCCTCACCTTCGTCGAAAGACTTGGCACCATTCAGCTGGATATGCTCAATAAGCAGGCAACCCTTGAATCTATTCTCCGCACCCTACCCACTGCATCTCAGATGGCCACACTGGTCAAAAGTGAAGTCCAAGCTGACATTGAAAAACTGGCAGTTCAGAACACTGAACTTCATAATGATGCCTGTCAGCTTATTCAGTCAGGCCACCAGCAAACTACCAAACTCCAAAGTGCAATAACTCAAATCCAACGAGATCTGACTACATACAACTCCAGAATTCAAAAAATGGAGGCTGAACAAAAGAATCAATCTAGTCAGACTCTCAAGGTACTGCATCAGTTTGGTACACAGCTGCTTCAAACTTCAAATTTGTGTGCCAAGGGCCTCAAAACAATTGCTACTGAGATGCAGCTCAGCAGGCCATTTTCCAACCTTGGCCAAAGAGACTGGAATGCCCTAAATGCTGAAATGCAGCAAAGTTTAAGTGGCATCCAGCAGACCACCTCTCATGTTGCACAAAAACTTCCTGGTTCCTCCTTCACTCCCTCTGTTTTAAACAAAATGGGGGAGAAAGATACCGAGAAGAAATCTGACAAGAACAATAGGAAGGAAAGGGAAGGGTAGGCAGGCTTTATATTATTTTTTAGGGATCTTTTGTATTCTTTATACTTAGAAACTTTTTATATACAAAATTCTCTTCTCAAAGCTTATCTGAGTATTCCCTACAAAGGTAAATTTCGTTCTGATACTATTATCTGAATTCACTAAAGAATAAATACCTTGTTCAAATAACTAAAAACATGCTAACCTTTGATCAGATAGTTTGCTTAGCTCTGATATTGA